GACCCCGAGAAGGTCAGGCCAGGAAACTTAAACCATCAATCTGTGACAACATTGCAAGGTCAGGCAAATGATCATTTAAAGAATTGAAGTGATTTCTTTTCCTTCTAATTAATGTAAACAATTTTCCACTGGAGATGAAATTTCACCAAAGATGGTTTTGGAGGCTAATGTCATTTGTTCCTTACCTCCTTATGTCATAGTGTTCTTGGTAACTTCCTAGTTTTTGAACAAAACTTGTATGCAACTCAAGAGCATTCAAAAAATCTAATTCACATTCTTTCCCCAATCTCCCCATTAGTAATTACACAGTTCTAGCCAAAACTTTGCAAATACATTTGGCACTCTATAAATATTTATATATAAATGATAGTGATGAGAAAGAATTCCTTTTTACAGAACATAGACCTTGAAGCAAACATAAAGGAGGGTGATAGGAGATGAAATGTATTTCTCCTGGGTCTTCAGTTATGGGACTGGTAAGGATGATTTCTAGTACTAATTATATTTTGGGTTTTCTCCCCATACCACCAAGCAATTCTTAAACACAAACTGGGTGTCCTACAATTCAACTCAATTCTGACATTATCTACCTTGAGAGAGTGTCAGCTAGATGAAAAAATTACATAGGCCAAGGTATGTGAAAGGGGGAGCGGGCTTCCTTGCTTTCTAAGCATGCCACTCTCTCTGAATCATCATGTGCTCACCAACCCTGAAGCACTTGGCACCTGTCCTTTGGGTTTTTGTAAAGGCTTCATTGCATAGAAATGTTTGATTAAATCATTGTTGATTAAACTCGATCTTCAGCCCCTCTCCCTTCTCTGGAGGTTTAGGAGTGGGACTAAAAGTTCCAATCCTTTAATCAAATGGTTGAGTCCCCTGGAAACCAGCCCCCAACCTTAGGTTACCTTAGGAGCTTTCCAAAAGTCACCCAGTTAATGTAACAAAAGACACCTTTATGCTCTCAGTACTTAGGAAATTCCAAAGATTTTAAGAGGTCTATGCAGAGAATGGGTCAAAGACCAAATATATATTTCTTATTATAAATTACAATATCACAACTAGACAGACTAAGGTTTAGGAAATGCAAAGAGAATGAGTCAAATCCTAGCCATCATAGTGAAAACTTTGAAACACAAT